AGTCAGTAGGGTCAGTTTCATAAAGCAATAATATACTTTTCTAGAAATCCTAAATGTGTAATTTCAGCCCACATTCTTTTCTAACCCAAAAATTTTAGCAGATATTAAATTGTGATACAAATGCATTTCATTGTAACTCAAGTATTTTAGCTTTTTATTTATAAAGCTGAAGTTATTCCATATAAATATCAGGTTAGTTCATTTTGGTTATAAGCTATTTGACGTTTTTTTTAAATCTTCTGCAATGACAAATATATATCAAGATTAATGTATCAAAATTTATTGCATACTTTGAAGTATAAAATTATTTTTTAAGATCTTGATTCCACAAATAAAGTTCTATTCTAATTACAAAAACAAAAGTGTGACTGATTTTTTTTTTTTTTTGAGAGGTTTTTGCTATAGGACACGTGTGCTTGCCAGAAAAACAGAGACAGAAAGCAAGAAATCACCACCCAAGGGGGGATGGCCATGCCACAGTCCCTTCTCCTCCATTCTCTTCTTGGGACCTTGAGCACACACGCACACAGACCCAGCGTGAATTTAAGCCACTGGGTCCAGGACTTGAACTGCAGTTGACTACAAGGGAGTCCAGCGACATAGCCATTACACCAACTGCTGGCCCCACTGATTTTTAAATAGAAATGTTTCTCAGCCACTGTGCCAGGTGATATTCTGGTCTAGACCTTTGCAGTAACCTATGGAATTCTTAAGATAATCTGGAATTTATATCCAGTGAACTAACATGACTATAAACTTTTAACCACAGATAGTCAATCTCCACTTAAAAAAACAAACAAACAAAAAAAAGCCATGTCCAAAAGCCTGGTTGTTAATGAAATACACACAAAAGATTAAAAGAAAAAGTTGTGAATGGCCTGGATTTCAGACACACAGCCACTCATGAAAGAGGCCAACCTTGTCCCGTAAGCCCTATGCACAGTGTTTCTAGGAGAAAAGGAGTTTAGGTGTTAATTCATAACAAAGTATCTATTCCTTCCTCTTTTTT